AGAATCGATCGTCGTGTCAAAAAATTGTACGAGTATCTAAAGTTTTTTTCATCTAAATCGATCACCGTGTCAAAAAATTGTACGAGTACCTAAAAATTTATTTCGTGTTATTATTTCGTTGTAGAAGTACCTAAAGATTTTTTTCATCTAAATCGATAGACGCGACGCGCGACGGTCAAAAATTGTACGAGTACCTAAAAATTTATCTCGATGCTATGATTTCGTTGTAGAAGTACCTATTCTTTTTTCTCGGAATCGATCAGAAAGTTGTACGAGTACCTAAAAATTTATTTCGATGCTATGATTTCGTTGTAGAAGTACCAGAAGTACCTAAAATTTTTGTTCATCTAAATCGATCATCGTGTCAAAAAATTGTACGAGTAGGTACACAGAAATTTATTTCGGTACTATTATAATATGTTACAGAAGTACCTAAAGATTTTTTTCATCTAAAGGGGTCAAGAATTGTACGAGAACCTAGAAATTTACGTAGAAGTACCTAAAAATGCTTTTCGTCTCAGAAAACAGATCGTCGTATCAAAAAATTGTACGTAGAAATACCTAGAGATTTATTTCGGTTCTATGATTTCGTTGTAGTAGTACCTAAATTTTTTTTCGTTTAAATCGGTCATCGTATTTGTGTTTTGACATTCGATACAAAATTACACTTTTAGGGTGCATCCACACTATTCTAAAAACGGCGTATCTGCGTAATGGCGTAACGACCTTGAATCGATTTCCAGTAATTCTATGGGCTGACATTTTTGACAGATGAATTTTTCAGCCAATAGAATTACTGGAAATCTATTCAAGGTCGTTACGCCGATACGCCGTTTTTAGGATAGTGTGGATGCACCCTCAATAGAATGACATATCATAATATGTCAATTTTTTGACATTTTCGCATATGTTTATTTGAAATTGTAACATGCGGTTCATAATGACAATTTGACTCGAAATACCATGTGTGGTACCAAATTATTCGTAAAAAATGCTTTTTCCAAATATTATACTAAAGAGCCTCCCTTGTTCCGTTTGGAAAAATTGAGATATGATTAAAAATACGCTTTGGGCATCTTATAAGAACGGGCCCGGACAAGACACGAAAATCATTAGATTATCAAATCTATTTTTCCAAGGCTCCTTAATTAAAAATTAGTGTTTTTAACACAGCCATGGCACTCTAGATTGAAATTTAAAATAAATTTTTTTAAATTGAACTTGAAAGTATGTGTTTCCCAGACTATACAAATAGGGAATTCCCAGAAGTTCATGCTTTTAAACCTACACTTTTTTTACTTTACTGCTATACGAATTTTATTTAAATTTAAATGATTACATTATACTTTTAAACATTTTGTTTACAGTTTCATCAAAACTCAACTCGCCAGATTAGACTTTAAATTATTTATATTTTGTGACGGGGATTCGCTACAATTATTTTGTTGGGTGTCGAACCATAAACTTTAGGATAAAACTCGAAGAATTTCAACAAAACACTTTTATTAAACTTTACGTTTCAGTGACAAATCAAATCATATGTTTTTTCTACCTACTGTCCCTCGATCTTTTTTATAATGGACTCATCCAAGCGGTCCGAGAGGGGCCCTATAATAATAATAGTTCTCTGTTACAATTTTTAAATAAAACTTGTAGAAACAATCTTAAAGAATACTTACTACCTATTTTGATTTTTTTCGTCTGAATCTCTTAATATTCTAAATGAATACACTTTACTTATTAGATAAGTATACACATGGCATATATATGATTCCAAAAAACGGCGTCAAATTACCTTTGAAATGAAAATCGTCAGAATCGATCGTCGTGTCAAAAAATTGTACGAGTATCTAAAGTTTTTTTCATCTAAATCGATCACCGTGTCAAAAAATTGTACGAGTACCTAAAAATTTATTTCGTGCTATGATTTCGTTACAGAAGTCGATTTCGTTACTAAATCGATCATCGTGTCGTAAAATTGTACGAGTACCTAAAAATTTATTACGGTACTATGATTTCGTTGTAGTAGTACCTAAAGTTTTTTTTCGTCTAAATCGATCGTCGTTTCAAAGAATTGTACGAGTACCTACAAATTTATTTCGTGTTATGATTACGTTATAGAAGTACCTAAAGATTTTTTTCATCTAAATCGATCGACGGGTCAAAGAATTGTACGAGTACCAAAAGATTTCTTTCGGTGGTATGATTTCATTGTCGAAGTAATTACATCAAAGTAATTACGATAATCGTATATATGATAGTGACTGTACGATAAGGCCGTTTTGTATGATATTTCTCCCCACAGGAAAAAGTTTTAACAAAAAGGTACCGTATGATCGAAAAAAAGCGGCGTCCAGTTGGCTTGGAAATGACGATCGATGACATTCACCATATAATTTTACAAATAAAATGACAGTAATTTTCATTTCATAGCCATCGCTGACGCCGTTTTTTTTTTTCGATCATAAATATGATAGTATTCAGTTATTTCACAATGATTAATTTTATTGGATTATTTCGTTCAGTGAGATCAAAAATAGTAATTTCAGTGAAACAAAAATTTTGACGGCTACACGTATTCTATAAACTGTGGCTACACACTACAGTAATAGGTACGTTGTATATTCAGTTTACGGCTGGATGCTATCTACCAACACCATGTAAATATGACAAACACGTTTTATGGTTGCATCTCTATAATATGTTTTATCTTCTATGTTTACTTTGTATTCGAAAATTTAATTAGAGTAATACTTGATAATATAATATTCTTATTATTCATTGATTGCAATATGAATGAAAACAGTGATTTGTTTTAATCACGGTTCTAATTTTAAACTTGAAAGTATGGAGTTCCCAGAAAAGTAGGTGGTTCGCAGCCTCTACAAATAGGGAATTCCCAGAATTTGATGCTTTTAAACCTACACTTTTTTCCTACTTTACTGCTACATGAATTTTATCAGACGCAGAAAATTTAAATTATTACATTTATACTTTTAAAAAGTTTGTTTACAGTCTCATCCAAACTCAACTCGCCAGATTAGACCTTATATTATTTATATTTTTAAATAAAACTAGTAGAAACAATCTTTAAAGAATGCTTATTTTCATTTTTTTGTCTGAATTTCTTAATATTCTAAATGAGCATCTTTTTTCTACCCGTCTTGCCCACAGTGCAAATTTTTAAATTGCCGCCCTCATATCTGTATGTAATAAAAAAATAAGTTAAAATAATTCTTTATAACAAAATAGAAAAAAGGTTAATGATAAATACACACATACCCTATGATTCCAAAACACGATGTCAAATTACCTTAGAAGTGACAATCGTGGAATCGATCGTCGTGTCAAAAAATTGTACGAGTACCTAAATATTTAAATCGATGCTACGATATCGTTGTAGAAGTAACAAATTTTTTTTTTGTCGGAATCGATCGTCGTGTCAAAAAATTGTACGAGTATCTAAAAATTTGTTTCGATGCTATGATTTCGTTGTAGAAGTAGCTAAACTTTTTTTCTTTTAAAGTATAAAGATAATAAACGGGGTTCCATCATCACTTAGTAAACACTTACAAAATCTACTAAACGAAATTGATAATGCATTGTAACTTGATTATGCTTATTACAAAGAAATTTAATTTTTAAAGAAATTTCAGATAAAAACGCTTTCATACGGATGCATTTATAAGACAGAATATATCTAATACTAACAATAAGTACAATAATATTCACTACAGCAGAAATGCACCGTTTTTACTTCTGCACTGTCATCAATTACCGCGTCAAAAGGTCCGTTCGTCTAATTCTAATATAAATATTTGAGAATTAAAAGCGGCAACGTCGTGGGTCTGGCGAAAACGAATAAACCTCTATTTTTTATATAAATGGGACAAATTAAACGGTCCAGCATCAGGGCCTGAAGGCATCGCTTGAACATTTTTCGTCCGATATACCCCGGGTCTGACGGCCTATCTTAAACGTACCGGGTCTGACTCCGTCGATTTAATAAATATATATATATATATATATATATATATATATATATATATATATATATATATATATATATATATATATATATATATATATATATATATATATATATCACATTTCGTTAAGGGGATATTTCATATGATTCATTATAATACGTAGTAGCATTTAAAACTTTTAAATGAAAATTCAAAAAACGTTTAAAGCAAATTGGAAAAATTTTTCGGGCTTGTTCGAAATGATTAAAAATTATATAACCGGTTGTATTTCAGAACACACCACAGAAATAGAAGATAGAAGAATCCGAAATAAAAAAGCGCGTTATTTTATTCGGTACCAGAAAACGATACAACAGATATTACAGAAACGTCTCTGTGCTATTTCAATTCGATATGTTAATATAAGCGGCTAAGTCAAATATCTTTGCGAATTTTATTTTATGAAATATTAGATACCTAACATTGTTATACATTTAGAAATAAGGTTTGCATATAGGTACTTGTATGTCTTAATTATTTTTATTCTTGCGGATCCGAAATTTAAAGAATCCTATAAAAAGTTTCCAACGCATTTAACATCTGATCTAACAAATTTGTTATATTGATACATTTCCAACTACCAACGCATTTAATAGTGATTTAACAAGGGGGGGGGGGGCAAATAGGCGCAACTAAAATTTTGTCGCCTACCCAGTCACACGGGTCACGAGCCGCCACAGCTATACCAATATTTATTGTCAACGTAAAATAAAACAACAAATTATTGAGTCTACCCTATATCAGGTTTGTACATGTTTTAAATAAAATCAGAACGGCATGATAAACCGAAATTTAAGTTGGCCATTTTTAGTCCCCATCGCGCTTGACCGCAGTTTTTTTGTATGCCCCTTCCTTAATCTTTTTATTCAAAGGTCTATAAACTCTGCAGGGCAATAAGTTGTTAAATCCTATGAGCGCTGCTGTCAGAATTTGAAAGCCTATAAAATAATTAAAATATTTTTTGTTTTGTAGGTTATGGATCGCAATGCTCTTCCAAATTTGACTGTACCATAATTTTGGGCGATTCGTTTGTATGTAGAAATAATTTATGCCAGTGTCCCGTCCTGTACACCTTAAAAGATAATATATGTGTTTCAAATACATCATCCAAGGTCGTGCTTAGCATTTGGATAAGTGCATTATATATAATTCTGATATTTTTGTAATTCAAGTAATATTACAAGGATTAGAGAGAATCACTTACTTTAAAGCTTTTATACACTTATTAAAAGTACATAAATTATTTGAATTTGTATATAATTTAGTACTTAAGTTAATATAGTTATTGTATTTATTTTTAATTTCTATGTATATAAGTTAATTTATTTTATACACACTATGATTTATATTATATGAGATAGTAGTAAATAAATATTATATAAAATGTATGTAAATCTATTTACATAATTTTTTACTAATCCAAGGATTTATAACCGATACTAATTAAACTTACTATTAGTTACGTAATTCTAGGCGCCATTTCTAAATTCACTGTTGCCAACCATGAAAATATTCGGCGCCGGTCTGACTAACTGGAGTTTAAATTTCCCGCTGGGGATTCAGGTGGTAGTTCCGCTGTAAAAAATGTCAAGTTGCGCCATATTTATTTATTTATTTTTTATTTACTTACATTGTCACATACATTGTCATTCGTTTTGACACTTTAGTGACTTTAGTTTTTATTACTAGTTTTTTGTTTAAATGAATTGTGTTGTGTTGTGATACTTTAAACTTCAACATTTTTACTAGTATACCTTGCAGTCGAACCTTGTTTTTTTTAAACCTTTTTTAGTGGGAAGTGTACAAGATATAAGCAGATATAAGCTTAATAGTCGTTGTAAAAAGCTCATCGCAACCGTATTAGAATATTTTGAACGGGAAAGCGGTAGTAATGGCGGTAGCTTTATGTCCCTTAAGTGCTGTTAAGGAGGTGAGTTTTGTTCATGTAAATAATAATAATAATAATAGCTCCCGTATATAGCGTTTAACGCCTTGGAAGTAGTAAGGTACAGCTTGCCATACTAGAGCCGCTCGGTATACAAGGAAGGTAATGTGGCTAGCACTACGCTTCAACCGCCTATTATTACCTCAGGATTGTGAATCTCAAGTACTCATTTAAGGCTGAGTCGACCTAGGTACACAAAGTATTTTTATTTTAGTAAAACTAGTCGGCTGATGAAATGCCGGGTGTGGGAATCGAACCCACTACCTTTAGATTGGTAGACGAGAGCCTGTACCTCTACGCCACCGGGCACCTTGTATACCAGTATGTAAATAATAACTGTTTATATATTTATAATTAATTTATTTTGTTTCCTAAATGTTTTGATTAAAAGAAAATATGTAAAAGCGGGCAACGCTGTGCTGGTTAAGCTTAATCACGTGAATAAAAGTTTATTTCGTTTGATCTATATGTGGTTATTACATAGTCTCTCTAGTCTGAGAATATGTGATTTTAGCAGGTGATATCCAAAAATTGACAGAATTGGCGAATAGACAAAAATGGATTGTGGATAAAAATAATATTACATAAATGATAGACAAGTCTACTGATTCATGCTCTATATATTTTTATACTTCTTTTATTTTTTGTTATATCTATAATTCATAGTTAAATCCAAGTTTCTTTGTATGTAAATAAATTAATCATTTATTTTTTTGTAACCTTTATTTAAACATTTAAAATGTAAGCAAGAAATTGTATATACATAGTATTAAAATAACTATAGGTATCATATTATCGTCATCTTTTGGGACTGCTTATAGAAATAGTCGCACCTCCGGCTTTATTAGATTCTGGAAAATAAATGTTATATCTATATTACCAGATTAATAGAAATACTTTATTTTACAACACAAAATATTTTGTTAGATTATTGCAATAACAATAATTAACCTCTGGAAAGTTTTGGTTTGCAGATTCCTCCAGATGGTATTTCACAAAAAATAGCCATTTTTTATATTTGCATTGTAAAAATGACGGAAACTTATATTTTTTCACTCAGTAGTTTTATACAGGTACGTACCAAAAATTGTTACTCTTCAAAACAGATAAAAAACAAGTAGTAGTACGAGAGCTAGCAACGTCGGAAAAACAAGTATTTTAAGACGTCTGGCTCTTTGATATATCTTTTACTATGCTCTCTAGATCAGCATGCGGCCCGTCTGGCTGCCGGTAAACGTTGCGTTCCCTACTGCGCATTGAAAGAAGATCCTATATTTTTATTAGTCCTTTAAATTCTAGTATTGAATATAAATCGAACATGTCTCTATAGCGCAGTGCGTAGAGTTTCCGACCACGAACTGATGATTCAGAGTTCGAATCCGGGTCTGGACAAAGACTTTTATTTTATTTTCGTTTATATCCTGATAGTAAAGTATTAAATATTTGTTTTTTTTTAATCACCAGTTTATTTAATACTTTATTATCAGAATATAAATGAAAATATGTAAAATAAAAAAGTCTTAAATCTTTGCCCTGACCCGGATTCGAACTCTGAATTATCGGTTCGTGGTCGGAAACTCTACGCACTGCGCTATAGAGACATTTATATTCAATACTAGAATTTATAGGACTAAATTAATAAAAAATATAGGATCTTCTTCCGATGCGCAGTAGTGAACGCAACGGGTATCGGCAGCCAGACGGGCCGCATGCTGTTCCAGAGAGAGTAAAACTTCTTCAAAACGTTGCTAGCTCTTAGACTATAGGTGGTGCCCCCTACGAGTAAGAGTCATATTGACATTGAACTCGAATTTCTCATGCCATAAAACACCTATAGACACCAATTTTCATCTAAGGTTTTACGTTAATTCAGATATTATTTGGAAAAAAACTTAATGAAAATGAAACATTTACACCCTGTAACTTTGAAACGAAGCATTTTAGAACATAAGTTTGTACGAACTTTCTATTTATTTTTATTTGCAGAATACAGTGTGTCCACGGATTGTCTTAACTATACTTGTAAAGTTGTTTAATTTCGATTTTTCGAAATAAACTCATTCTTCGTAACTTTTTTTGCTTGTTTATATTTTGCAACTTCAATCATATTTAAATAACAAGCAAAAAAAGTTACGAAGAATGACTTTTTTTCGAAAAATCGAAATTAAACAAGTTTACAAGTATAGTTAAGACCGAGGTTAAGACAATCCGTGGACACACTGTATACTCCCGAAATTTCTCGAATACAATTCGGACCACCCTGTATATTAGGTATAAGGAACAATAGTAAAATTTGAGTGACCCTCAACGAGAGGTGATGTAATAAACTAGTCTGAATTATTATATTTTTGATTTAAATGACGACATAACTCAATATTATAAAATACATGATTACCAGATTTTTACTAAATAGTAAAGCAGAAGAAAACACCTACCAGAATTTCCTATAGAATTACCGAATGCTATATTTATGGTTTCTCCATTTGGTAACATGTATTGTTGAGATCCTGCGAAAGAAGCTGAACCAAATGGGCCCTTAGGCCCAAAAGCCAACGACTGGGATTGAGATCCCGACGCTGAAAGAAGACAACATGTTTAAAATTGACACTTGTATGAGGCGAAGAAGAAGCATTGAATATTATGGATGTGGTGTGCGTAGATAATACAAAGATATAAAAATAATACTAGATGATAAAGCTAATAGACCATAGTTGAATAAAACATACCTAGGCAAATAAGTTTTGAATTAGGAGTTATAATGTTAATACCTTATGATCGAAAAAAAACGGCGGCAAAGACGGTTGGGGGTGATAATTTTGGCGAGGTCAATCTCTAGATGTTATTTACTAAAAATTGACTTAAAAGTTGTCAAAAATAACACTAATTATGGAAAGATTAAAATAAGATAGAACGTTTCCAGACATAAAAATCTATTTTCAAAAAAAAATTTCTTGAATGTTAAACTACACCATTTAAAAATAATTTTTACTCAATAAATTACCACCTTCTTAAGGTCAACTAGCAGTAAGCCATTAAAAAATAAAGAAGAGTAAGGGCCAAGTAAATGACGTCTAAGGCTTGACCTCACCAAAATTATCATCGATTGTCATTCTCCAGCAGTCTTGATAGGTATTTGCTAGAATTTGAACCTATTTTGGGAATGAACATAAAATGGAAGATGAGGTAAAGTACAAGAGAATACAAGAGGATATGTATGAATTAGATTCCTATGAATTAACTATCAAAGGATCTAGGAAAGAAGAAAGCAGAATTTTAAATGAAAAAAATCCTTGGAAAATTACCGGAAGCACCAAAATTTCCAAAGGGACTTTGGGCCTGATGGGATTGTGCTTGTGCGCTGGCTGCCGCTACAGAATCTCCATAATTAGGAAAATTTAATGATGGGTAAGGAAATCTAAAATTGCAAAAATATACAGGGTGGCGCACCTCATTCGCCTCGGTTGATTTTACAAAAACGGAAAGATGTAGAAACAAAATATTTTCTGGGTTTATGTAGGGAGGCAATGTGCACAATTTAAAATTATTTTGAAATATACAGGGTGTTTCAGAACTAAGATCCATACCAAAGTTCTATTTTTTCGTATGGAACACCCGGTATTTTATTTCATTTTTGGATTCTTGGGCCCAAAAAAAGGCATATATTATGAGGGTTAAATATGTTTAAAATCGTTGGTTTTGGAGATATTTAAAGATATTTAAATATGCATGCTACAATAGAATAGAGTATTAACACCCTGTACATAACTTTTCAGAATTAATTCTTGTGCTGAGTTTAAAGGCGAGGAAAGAAACTTTATTGAAAAATATTACTGCTTCCTTAAATTTATACAGGGGTAATTGCTGATCTATTTCAAGGATTTATTTTATATAAAAACTTCGTTATTTCAAATATAACACCCTGTATTTTTTTAAATAAATCGAAGCAGATTCAAATGCTCTTTCTAACTATATTAGGGTTTCCTATACCTATCTAGATCAGATTTTGAATAAAAAGCGATTTTTCAATAAAATCGCTATCAAGATGGCTGGTGTCACATTATTATTTAGATTTATAACAGTTTACTTAAATTTACCTATAATAGTTTAATCAGTAAGTATTCATTATTTTATCAAAAAAAAATAAAGCAGTATCTGCTGGCGGAACAAATGGATATGTTACTAATGATTTTATTTTGTGAGGAAAATTGCTTCTTGGCCTCAAGTGCTCAAAGATATCCAAATAAGAATATTGCTGATAAGCGTTCCTTTTGAAAAACTACTTGTCCTATTTCGCAGAGCTGGTAGTGTGGTTTATAAAAAATCTATTAGGCAGAAACCTGTCGTTGAAGAAAATTAATTTGCCGTAATTGACTCTTTTATAGGAAATTCATATATCTACGTCATCATAAAGTAAATCACAGTACTACTTCTTCGTTTTTCTTGATAGAATAATAAAGACATATTTAATAAATTTTATTTATTAAACTATTATAGGTAAATTAAATAAAAATAAACTGGTATAAATTTAAATAACGTCCATAAACTAATTTCCATTTTGAAAATAGCTACTAACTGTCACTAGGAACTTGCCATGACGATACTAGCCCTCTTGGTTCCTATTTTATTGAAAAATTACTATTTATTCAAAATCTAAGCTAGATATGTATAGGAAACCCTAATATAGTTTGAAAAAGCATTTGAATCTTCTTCGATTCATTTTAAACAATTCTGGGTGTTGTATTTGAAATAACGAAGTTTTTATGTAAAATAAATATTTTAAATAGACCAGCAATTTTTGATAACTCTGTATACATTAAACGAAGAAATCAAATTTTTCAATAAAGTTTATTTCTTTGGCTTAAAAGTCAGCACAAGAATTAATTCTGCTACAGGGTGTTGACAATTTTTTTTATTATAGCATACATATTTAAATATCTTCAAATATCTCTAAACCCAAAGCTTGTAAACATATTTGACCCGTATAATAAATGCCTTATTTTGTGTCGACGGATCCAACTATGAAATAAAATACCGGGTGTTCCATAAGAAAAAATATAACTTTGGTGTGAATCTTAGTTCTGACACACCCTATACATTTCAAAATAATTTTAAATTATGCACATTGCCTTCGCACATATACCCATAAAATATTTTTTTTCTACATCTATCCATTTTCGTATAATATAACTGAGGCGAATGAGGTGCGCCACCCTGTATATAAATCAAAAATGAAAAATATCCCGTGTGATCGAAAAAAAATGGCTTCCAGTTGGCTTAGAAATGACGATCGATGCCATTCCTCATATAAGTTTATATCCCAAATGAGAGCGATCTTCATTTCCAAGACTTCTCTGATTCATGTTTTTTTTGGTTGACGCTGGATGACACTTTTGACATGTTCATAATCAGTAGTAATATGGTAGTAACGTCAATGTGAGTATTTGCTAAATTTACTAGTAAATAGTAAATATAATTTTGCAATCGTACTGCAGTACATTCTGAACTTGTTGCTTACCCGTGTTGTCGTTTAGTTCTTGTGATCGAAGGTTGGTTATTTCTGGATTGTCTTCCACTGCCTTTTCTTTTGACGTTAAGCGTAGATTCTACTACTATCTCATCAAAGGCCTGTCCAAATGCAGCTAAACATATAGTAATTTTGTTTTATAATATTGTATTAGTATGAATCTAGTAAATCTCAGTTTTTAAAAGCTTCAATTTGGCGTTTTGACATTATTTGCTGATATTGGGTAAACTAAAATCGTAATATACAAGGTGTCCCAGTATTGCGTGGACATAGAATATAGAACTACTACGTATTTTTGGAATGAAAATAAGTTCATTGGACACAATTTACCTCTATGCAAAAGTGCTTCTTTTGTCCTTTAGAGGACATCAAGCTTTAAAAAAATAAACACATTTTTTTAGATATTTTAAGAACCGTTATTCCGATTTGAATGTTATTTTAGGTGTCTACGTTTTGCTAAGTGCTTTAAGACTTTCACAAAAATCAAGAAAATGTATGGGAAGGGTAAAAACTCAACCGACTACGGATTTTTTTTTCGTAAAATGGGCCCTCTAGTGTTTACTACATTTTTAGTCTCTTGTAAAAAAAGCCACCGCGCATACTTTTTGAGAAAAAAATATTTTTCCGATGCCGATCAAACCAAAAAATGTTTTTTGCACATTAAGTTATGGAGGCGCGTAAAATCTATTATGCCCTTATATTAATCTAGTTGGCGAAAATATGGAATTTTACGATAGTTTCGAAAATTATATTTGCCAATAAGACTCATAGGAAGTTAAGAAAATAATATTTTTTTATTAACTAAGGTTCGGGTTTATTTTTAATTGATGTAATAAAGGTAAATTATGCGCAATAAACTTATTTTGATTTCAAAAACACGTAGTAGTTCTATCTCCACGGAATATTGGAACTCCCTGTATATTTTGTAGGTCTGCTTTGGAAAAATAAATTCTCCTCAAAATTTTTCTCAAAAACTATGCGATATGGCGTTTTTTTATAAGAGGCAAAAAATGTAGTAAATACTAGATGGACCACTTTACGAAAAGAAAATTTGTCGTCTGTGGAGTTGGAAAATATTTATACTAAAATTTATGTAGGGGTGGGGATAGTTATCACCCTTCCCGTACATTTCCTTGGTTTTTGTGAAAGTCAAATGTTAAAGCACTTAGCAAAACATAGACACCGAGAATCTCATTCAAATCGGAATATCTGAAAAATGCGTTTATTTTTTTAAAGCTTGATGCCCTCTCGCGGGCAAACGAAGCACTTTTGTATAGGTAATTGTGTCCAATGAACTTATTTTAATTCTAAAAATACGTAGTAGTTCTATGTCCACGGAATATTGCGACACCCTGTATATCTTAATTTCAATTTGCATTGCAAATGTTTGCTAGGTGCAGAGTGTGTAATATGTAATGTTAACCTAGATTATAGTTTAAAATGATACAAGCAGATTTTTACAATTTAATGTTATTCTAATGGGACTACTATCTAATATTTGATATTATATCTTTCTTGTTAACTATTTTATGCAGATGAACATTTATAGAGTCAAAATGTTTCTATTTTAATGATTAAAATAGAAAAATTACAATAAATCGAAAAAAATAAGACTCTAACCCCCTGTAGCCACGTAAAATTAGAATCGGACCTAGATTGATATAAAAAGTGAATCTTATTTTTACGTGGTGAATATCCACATGAGAGATGGTATATCTTTTGTAAAACACCCTGTATATACATATAACCATGTATTAAAACGTTAAGGAGAAATATTTAATATATTAAACGCCTCCTATTTTTTAAAAAACAATTTCTTCGCGCTTTTTCATTTACATCCCCTTACCTGTCATTTATTATACTTAAAATAAATTAATAATAACATAACTTTCTAACATAAAAACAGTATCTACAGTTCATATGGTTTTATCTTAAGAAGTTAAATGATTATAAAACACACTGATATTTTAAAATTTTACTTACATTTTGCGTCAGATCCACTTGTAAGGGAAGTATTTTCTACTGGTGCTCCAGTATTAAATTTTATCACAGATAACAATGCTAGAATTACTATAAATGCTTTAGTAAAATAATTCATTTTTTTTCAGTTTTATCTACAGAATTCTTTAATTCAATGATTAAGTAAGAACGTTATACTTAATGTTCTGAAATATAAGATAGCAACGTGGTCAGGAAGAAATGAAAGTTTGTGTCTGACAAATACAAATTTATGTCCCAGCTGACCTTCTTGATAGACCATCGAGTATACGAGGGGCAAATGATTAACACATTGTAGTTTTAGAAGTGATATTCGGCATTCAATAATATTTCAATTTACTAAATACTTCTACTTAGATTTACTATCAAAAATAGAAAGGAGGACGTAGATATATAACGTTATCCAACTTAATATGTTTATATTTTTAATACCCTTATAAACAAGGATAATACTCACATACAGGTATAATCTAAATATTATTTGACCCTTGTAATTTTAAATACATTTAAAAATTCTAATGAATTTGATGTCATTACAATACAAACAATCATATTTGGACAACATAGAAAATTGTAAACACCATTGTTCGAAAATTTGTATGTATTTATTAGGTCATCTGTTTGTTATCTATGAACTGATAAGTTGACTTTATAGTGCACTCGATATTTTACACTGTTTTACACTTACTGCACTGCACTACATTACACCGCACTGCGCTACAAAAAAAACGGCGTTAAAGACGGCTGTGAAATGACCATCGATGATAATTTTGGCGAGGTCAAGCCTTAGACGTCGTTTACTTGGCCCGTACTCGTTTTTATCTTGTACTGTCGCTTACTGCTAGTTGTTATTTATTTTTGTATTGAGTAAACATTATTTTTAAATGGTGTAGTTTAATATTCGGGAAAATATATTTTTTTTTGAAAATAGACTTGTGTGTCTGGAATTCTTTTTTAATTTCTAATATTTCTATCATTAGTTTTAATTTTTGACAAGTTTTATATAAATTTTTAGTAAATAATCTCTAGAGACTGACCTCGCTAAAATTATCATCTTTTGTCATTCACCAGCTGTGTTTGACGCTGTTGTTTTTCTATTATACGGTGTTTCAATTTATATTATGAAATACTTTTTCTAAAATTATGTAACTTTTGTAAACCATTTCAAAGTAATATTGAATTTGAAGTTACTTGTAAATTACCATATAATCATTTTTGACATTACATACTTGTAAAAAAATAAGTCATAACTTTCCAAAGAAATGTAAAAAATATAGTTCGAAGTTTGATTTTATATTTTGATAAAGACATAAGTTTATTATAAGTAGGTATCATTTTAAAAGGGTTAATTGAAAAACAAATATACAGGATGAGTCTTAAATAAGTGCAAATATTTTCAGAACTGGTAGATCTCCATAAAAGAAACATATTTTCTCTTTACAGTTTTTTAAATAAGTCCAAAATAAGCGAGTTATTTAAGGTTGAAAATTTAAAAAAAATGATTTTTTTGGAAAAATTTTGAGAGCCACCGGATTTTTTCTGTATTTGCATCCCTTTTAGTGCCGTAACCATAGAGTAAAGCTGTAACTATGCTAATATACTCTGTTTTTTTTCTCAGGTAAGATTTCGACAGACGATGACAGAAGAAAAGCAGATGACGTCCCATACCAATCTATTTATTTTACTAAAAAAAGTTTCTAATAATTTTTAAGTTATCTATGGATGGGGGTTTAAATATAAATCCGTCATGCGTCGTGTCTTGTTGTTTTTAACCAGCTTTATTGGTTTATTTAAAAAATGACAGATCGTATTTCAATTTTATTGGTTTGACGGAACGATGAACGACAAACGGACGCCGATGCGTATGAACTCGCCTTTAGATTTTTGTCATTTTTGACGCTTGTCAAAGTCTTGCCAAATTATTGGTTATAATTTTGTGTCAACTTTTGTTAAATACCCTGCATTTTGAAAGATGATGCATTTTGATTCGTATTATTACGTGTGTTTTGTGTCTTTTGAAGTCAAGTGGAGGAAAAATCGAGTGAAAATTAACTGTAGGCCCAGAGCACAGTTTATGGTTAATACACGCTGCCCAGGCAGAAAGTCTTATACACCAATGAAGTTGCCATCGATAAAGTTTGTATACCATTTCGTCGTAGATAAGTGCATTTCGTATATAAGGATCAAACTAAACACATACTAAAAACTGGAGTAGCTGTAAAATATCGACATCACACGATAGGTAAATAATGGATTTTAGTACTGGTGCAGAAAAATAATGTCAAAAGGTACTGGTTTAAAAAAATTAAGATTAAAGGTAATTAATCCACCTTTAAGGTATAAAATTTGGTAGGTGTTATTATTAATAAAATAGTTGTTGTATTTACCTATGTTGTTTTATTTATACCTGTGGAATATTACAAATTTGTATTTGTACATAAGTTATATTGATAAATATAATCATAAATGCGGGTAGTTTCATAAAGCTTGAAAGTAAATAATAGTTATTTTTTATATTTTTTTGGTATGTAGTGCCTTGTTCTTGTTTGTTTTGTATTAACACATACCGTTTTTATTAAATAAAATAACTCGATTTCATTTTTTTCAGTTTTATGCATTTTTTTCACAATATTTTGAAGTAATCACTTGTCATCTTGTCAATCAAATTTTAAATATATCCTGCTATGCGTTCCAGTTATACCAACTTATTTCTTTGTAAAATAAAATAAACTACTCTGAAATTAAAATGACAGACACATCTATCACTGTCAAGGATCTTCTCGTTGGACAGACTATATCAGAGATTAAGAAATTATACAGTGGGAAAATTTGCGGTGAACAGGCAGTTCTAAAAAGTTTTCGAAAAATATATAGGGAAATATAAAAGAAAATGCATGATTTTCAGCATCTTTTTTTTGCGAAAAAAACCTCATAGACGTGTTCCTGGGGACGACCGTGAAAATATTTGCACTTATTTAAGACTCACCCTGTATATTAATTTTTTTAACTGGTAATATTAAATTTATTATTTAACTGTTTTACATATACCTCGTGCGTCTCAAAAGTGGCTCACCCCTATAACTTTTCTATTTTTTCAGATAAATAAACGAGATTGTTTTCGGTCACTTCCTGTTTCACCGGAAATGACTACAACTTTTGATTTCTAAATGGTAGGTATATATTTACTTTATTGAATAGAAAATGGCATTCTGAATAGAGTGACATATCATATGTCAACTTTTAACGTTTTTGCTTAAAAAAATCATATTTGAAATTTCAATCTAGAGTGTCATGGCTGTGTTAAAGACACTAATTTTTAATTAAGGAGTCTTGGAAAAATATATTTGATCGTCTAATGTTTTTCGTGCCTTGTTCTGGCCGGTTAAAAGATGCCCAAATCGTTTTTTAATCATGTCTCAATTTTTTTAAATGGATAAAGGGTGGCTAATTAGCATATTCGGATAAAAAGAATTACGAATAATTTGATACCACGCACTTGATGTTTCCAGACAAATTGTCGTTATAAACCGCATGTTACAATTTCAAATAAACCATATGCGAAAATGTCAAAAGTTGACATATGATACGTCATTCTATTCAGAGTGTCATTTTCTATCGAATAAAATAAAGAAATACCTAGGGTGTCATTGAACAATCAAAACTTGTAGTCATTTCCGGTGAAACAGGAAGTGACCAAAAACAATTGAATACGTCAATCAATCCTAATTTATGTGATATACTAACATACCAAATCTCGTATTTTTATTTGAATAAATAAAAAAGTTATAAGGGTTAGTCATTTTTGAGACACACCCGGTATACTTGTAATATTTAATCGAAAATAATTATTAGACCCTGGTATGTCTAAAACCATTTAAAAATTCTAATGAATTTGATGTCATTACAATATAAACAATCATATTTGGAGAACCTAGAAAAATGTAAAAACCAGTGTTTGAAGATTTGTGCTTGTATGCATACATGAGTACTAAGAATTGATGACAATAAATAAAAATTTTGTGCTAGCGGAATTTTTCATTCATTCATTCAATGTATTTTCGATAATTTTTGGATGTCGAAATCTTACTCGACTCGTTCGTCAGACACATCATGCTCTGTACAGGGTGTCTAATTTTCGTGTGTTTTATGGGGTTTCTCGATTACAAGCAGAGCTACAGAGATGCGGTTTTCGCATCACTGTACTGATTTTTTATGAAACTAAAAATGGTGTACATACCTAGTGTACATAGCTTTGTCCTAGCCCCCTTGGTTACTGAAATACAGGGTGAATTTGAAAACGCATTCTTGTACCATGTTTATGAAAATTTATGAAAATAAGTATAGAGTATATTATATTTTTTGCAAGCTTATAATAAGGCAAATAAATAAAAATCAATATACAGTGTGTTCCATTAAAAAAAACATAAATTTTGGTCATATTACAAGCATTGGCGTAACTACGGGGGTGCCCGGGGGTGCCGGGCCTCCTGGTAATTCAAGGCAGTCCCCAGAGAAATCCTGAATTATGACTCCTGGCTACGTATTAATTTTTATTTGCTTGTAATGCAGTAAAAATGACGTTTTCTAGTTTTGTTTAGTTAATATTATTTTGTTGTGTTCAAAAAATGTGTTAATTTTTATTTTTTTAGAAAATTTGTAGGTATTTAAGTAATCTACGGTTTGATAATCAAGTCTATGAAATTTATTGATAGAGAAATTCATGTAAACGTGTTATTAAAAAATATGTTTTTTTGAAATTATTTTTCATTTAAAAAAAAGCCCTAGGCCCCTGGGATCAACACCAGCTCCCCCCAGGCCTTCACCAGAATAAATTGTTAGTTACACTAATGATTACAAGAAGTTTCCAGCGAAAAACAAGTTACAGAAGTAGATTCTACCTAACTAAATCTACTTCTACCTAAACTCTATGGCACTCAGTTTTCACCTTTCCGATAAGTTAGCACAGTGATATGAAAGCCGTATCATCGTAACCTCTACTTATAAACGAGAAACTCTGAGAAACGCACGAAAATGGGACACTCTGTACAAAGCGTAGACGAACTCTTGTATGTAGTGTTATCGATTTCTGAGATATTCTAACGAAGGGTGGAATTTTCGTGAGATCAAACGCTACACAACCTAACCTAACCTAACACAACTGATTTTGATTTCCCTAGGTATGAACCTTTCTTGCTTCTATTCATAATTTAAATACAAATACATTGCCGATCTCGGTAAGTCGGTGCATAAGATTTTATTAGAAATTAATTATTAATTAGAAATTAAATAAAATAATCGAGGCCGATAATATGGCGCCCAACGTGGGGCTCCGTGCCGTTAATCTGTCAACTTCACGTTTTGATTTCTTACATTATTACTGTTTTCGG